GTAGGAGGAGTAGTTGAAGTAGTAGTAGTGACTCTGTCTTCATCAATCTTGGGCTCTTCCTTCTCCTTATCCCCGCCCCTCTTTCGCCCCCACAGCGGGCCAAACCCCGAATAGTAATAGAATTCGTAAGGGTTTGAGGAGGATCCCCTCTTCGCCTTGGCCCGGGAGCGGCGGGCTCCAGCTGATAGCACCTTGCTCGCAGCTTCCCGGGGGCCCTTATTGTTGGAAGCAATGTTGGTATTATGGTTAGACCTAAGCAGGGATAAGTGATGGTTGCAGAAAGACTGGCCGAGTTTGGCTCTCTTCTTGCAATGCCAGCCCTTTCCATCGTTCTTCTGGCAACACGCGTAGCTTGATCTCCTCCCTTCCTCTTCGTTATCGTCGTCCAATAACTCTTTCGAATTCGAACCCTTTTTGTCATCAGCGACGGGCTCTTGTTCCATCAGCACGGCTTTCTCTTTGCCGATATCCATCATCGACGCAACGCTGCGTTTTGCATTATTTTATACACAGCAACATTTCAAGCAGAGCCGCGAGAATTTTGAATAATATTATAAAGAGGGAGTAGAAAAAATAAAAATAAATAACGAAAGGCAGCAGAAAAAACCCTAATGCCTGAAATGATAATATCGTACGAAATTGGAGACAAATGATTGGAACCATCGAGGTATAGATCAAAGTGGTGTACCCTTCAGCAGCTCCGAGAGAATCACCGAAGCTCCCATTGTTATTTACATAGAAGCTCTCTTCCAACTACACACAGCAACCCAAAAGGAAAAGAAAGAACAATAAAAACCAACGAAAGCTCAAATTTTCTGTGGAAAATATCAGAAAATGAGGAAGACCCATTAACCTAATCGAGCATCGGGAGCTAAATACACGACGACAGTGGGAAATTTTAGGGTTTTTGGGGAACCCTAATGTTGGGGGAGGGGAAACCCATGGAACCCGAAGAACCCAGAAATAATGAAAACCCTAGTGAAGGAAATGCAGGTGGAGGAAGACGAATTAAACAGTGGGAGCTTCTGCTTCCAAAAGGGTCTCCACAGATCTACCCAGAAATTAAAAATGAAGAACAAAAAGCTCAGATAGAGAGAGATAAGCGAGAGGGAGAGAGTGACCTGGTTCGAGTCTGGACCAAAGGAAATAACATCCCATGGGGATTGATTTAACTGGCACACGTGTGCCTGGAGGTCCTCCGCAGCTGGAGCGTGCGACGAGAACAGGAGAGGGGAGACCTTGGCGTTCTTCCTGATCCGCATCTCCAAATCTTCTTTCTTCTTCTTCCTCCTTCTCTTCAAAAACCAACAGCTCAGATAGATAAAACACAGAGAGATAGAGAGCCGCAGGGATGTGTTTGGCTGCTGGGATTTTTTTTTCTCGCACTTTCTCGTGTGTTTTCTCGCTGAGAGAGGAGAGGGTTGGGGGGCTCGGGGGTTGTGGTGGGTTTGTGGGGGATGGGTTTGTTTGTGCAGATCTCACACAACTCGATATAATCAGGGTTTCTTATTAACTTTTCTGTTGCTTTCTCGCCTCTTCGTATATATATATATTTTCGATTTACATTTCTTTTATTGACAATTTTGTCCCTAGGTTTTCGTCTTATTCACAGTTCGCGGCTCGCTACTTGGATGTGAGCGGAAAGGAAAGCCTGCCGCTATTACACGTCATGATAGTTGTCTAAAAACCCTATATTTTTTTAAAAAGACAGCGACAGAAATGGCTCCTCTGCGCACGCCCCCACAATAATTTATGGTGGGTCTGCAGAAATCAAAAGCATAGGGGTAGTTTCGCCTCTCCACGTACAGCATATTAGGAATTTGCGGGTGTTTTTTCTTTTTAAATTTTTTATTTCTCGTAAGTTTTAATGAGCAGGGTAGGGTAGGCCGCGGGTGCGTTAGCATGTGATAGTTATCCCCGGGACAAGGGTATGTTGGTAATTTCATTGACCCTTTTTAAAAATAAAATAAAAATACCGGTAAAACGAAAAAAAAAAAACTAACGTCTTTTCTTATGACATGGGAGAGGAGGATGGAGAAGTGGCGCGTGGATTTCACGCGGGAAAACATGGCAAGACCACGCTCGAGTGGAGCAAGTGGGGAACACGTTTGGCCCACAACCACATGAAAAAGGGTTTGATGAGCGTACGTGTGTGTGGGGCCCTCGTTTGAGTCAACAGAATGGACGGTCCAGATGGGGGTCGGATGGATGAGGTGGCACAGAATCCGATACTAGGATTGGTGTATTAAGTGTTTGGAGGAGGCAGCCTTACGTGTCGCTTTGTGGTGGGTTTTTTGGTAGGCATTTTATTTGATTTTTCACCCTCCCCACTTATTATGGTAATGCCAAGAAAATTATGGTAAAATATCTATCAATTGGTTAGATATTATGACTGTCCAAATAAGCGGGCAAGGGGCAAAAGTGTAAAACTTTATATAAATTGGGGCCATTTGCATTCCAATAATGAACTATTTGAATCATATTTACAGATTACATATTAATAAAAGAAGCCGTATTCAAGATAACATTATTAATAAAAGAATCCGGAATAAGAAAAAGAAAGGTATTATACATCATAAGAGAATCGGCAATTCAATAGTCAAACACTTGATGAGATACTTTTCTAATTGTGTGTAACGTTATTTGCATCATATTTATTGATTATATTTTCCGTGTGGATGAAACCTACGCGCATGAAATTCGTGTGTTTACATTAGAGGGTGTTCATGAGTAAATATATCTTATAAAAGGGTTACTCTCATTTCTTTCTTCTTTTTTCCCCTCGACATGCATTGGTCAGTGAAGCAGGGATGCTATGTGCCCTTTGCTCTGTTTGTTGCTTAAAAACGATTAAATTTGAGGGTGAAGAAAATGTTTCCCAACAACCAATAAAAAAGCAAAAGAATATCATTGTAATGATTACAAGTTGCTAATTAGGAATTTGGTAAAATTTTATAGAATGACTATAACTTCATTGCAAAGAAAAACAGCACATACAACTAGATCATAATTAGAATGGACTAAATTGGAAAAAGCCTTACTGTGTTCAAGTGTTCTGTTCAAATAAAATTTCCAGATTTGATCTTACATGCATTTCGAAATGATTTCCTAGCATGTTTCTGTGTTTGGTTGCTGAGAAAATTGGTCTTCTCTGCAGCAGATTAAGAAGACTAATACTGATGGAGCTAGTTTTGATTAACAACCACCAAGAAAGAGATTAGTTTGGGAATGAATAAATAAATCACCCCACAAATGTGTAACCCTAAACCTAGGTAGCTAAAACTACATAGATCGAAGACGGTAATAATGCATAAGCAAATATAGTCTCCTTCACTTGTTGAATTCTGCAACTGCGAGACGGTGCGTGTATGGACACCTCTATCCCGTAATTTCGAGATCTTACAACTGAAGCTCTATATATATACATATATGTCGTAGCAATTACAGAGCATATAAAGGAGAGACATATATATGCAACATGTAGCGTATTAATATGTAGAGGTTGAAATTAATATGTGGTTGCTGCTGAGACAGGTAGATGCATTGCTGCAGGCACAGCAGCAAATGAGGACTTGGCTCAACTCATTGGGTCTTTGACTTTGCTTAACAAATATTTCCAATTCACTGTGATGTTTTATATGCAATGGACAAGTAGTTTTGGATGATTTTAGGCACGTAGCTCAGCTGCGATCTGATTCTGATAGTACAATGATATTGTATTATCAGCAGCCTATTGTAGCAGGGGCCCCGTCACTAATTTTGTACAAGACGAGTGAAAAACAAAAACTAGGACAGTTATTTCAGTAAACTTTGAAATGAATAGACACGGACTGGCACTCACATGTCATACCCTACCACACCCTCTGAAATTAGCCTTTCACATATATATATTTATATAAATTCTACTTGTAAGATGGCTTGCTTTTAAGTTGTATACGTTTTGTTAGAGACAATGATACCGACATATTATATGTATATATCCAAAACTTTGAAATGTTACTGTTTTGGACAACATTCGCTTTCTTAAACTTGGTTTGCACCTTTGCTACTTTGTCAAGTAGCTGCCTGTATTATCACTCATGACACGGGACATAATTCAGATATAAAAAAATGAATCGTGC